AGAATGGGTAAAAAAAAGAAGGTATTTATGAATACCAGCTTTGATCATATGACCTGTTATAGAAATAAAGACTGCAGTTGTCATGAGTGTTTCTTCCTAATTTTCTTATGAATGTGTGTATGTATGTGAAATAAACTATTTCCTGCTGTTAACCTTTTATCATGTAACATAAGATATATTGACTTTACATCACAGTATTTAAGTTATGAGCTACCATGGAGAATAATGACCTTATCCAAGGACTTTGCATTCTCTTCTATGTTGAAGGGGTTAGTGTATTTTCCATTATATGCATGATAGTTGTATCATGTTAGGTGGAAGGATGACCTTATTATATTGTCTTATTTGAAGATTAAGTATTGTTTAATATATATGGGTGCTAAGTTGACATGGGGTAGTAGTTAATTTTATGTTTCAAGTTGGAGGGTGTTTTAGAGGAGATCAACAACTTAAAATCAGTGAACTTTCTATAAGCAGATTGCCTCATCCAATCAACTGAAGCATGAAAGAACAAAACTTCCTGAGCAAGAAGGAATTCAGCATACCGCCTTCAGACATAATGTACCATCAGCTCGCCTGCTCTCCAGGCTTCCAGCCTTCAGACTAGAGCTGCACCACTGGTTTGCCTTCACCTCCAGGCTGCCAGTCCATACTTCAGATTTTGGACTTACTACTGTCTATAATCACATTACCCAATTTCTTATAATAAATCACCTAAATATATACACACACACACACACAAAAAAAAAAAAAAAAAACATATATACATGTGTATCTCCCGTCTTTGATTCAGTGTATATGGAGAAACTGGCTAGTGAACATGGTAAAGTCTATCACCTTAGGTTACTGAATATTAAGGAGCAGGCAAACAGGTGTGCTTTACGTTAACCATCATAATTATTGCCTTGATTAAATTCTCTATGGTCACAGCACCATTGCCTTAAAATATCTAATAGTGGACATGGGTTCTCTGAACCACTAAGTAATAAATCAAAAATAAATTAAGTCTTTGGCAAGTATAAAATGGCTCAAACATTTTCCCCACCTTTATCTAGTTAATACAGATTAATGAAATTAAAGCAGTTTTCAAGGATTAAAACGCATCATACAGGACCCACTTAGAAAAGGGGTGATTATCCCTGTTATGTCATTTAAAAGTCTAATTTGACCTGTTGTTCATCTTGGAATGAATGAATGGGACTTCACAATGTATTACCAAAGCCTCAATGTCATGATCCCACTCATTTAGGCCCCCACAACTACTACTATGGAAATTGTTGCCAATTCAATCAGAAACTGATGATTTTCTATTATAGATTTGGATAATGCAATTTGTTTAGTGCCATTTCAAAAGCCTTTCAGTCCCAGTTTCCTAATCCTTCCAATCAAAATGCGACACCTTTACCTGGCTACTCATTGCATACCTAACAGCTCTGTTATGTCACATCATCTTTGCAGGCAAGAACTTCACTGAATTCAGCTTTCTCCAGGACCATAGTTGTGATATTACAGTGATACCATAATCTTCCAAAGGATTCCTTGGACATACTCATCCAAGACAGATATTTGAAAAGGAATGCACAAATAAAGGAATGGGTCATGACGCATACATAGTGCAAAACCTTGCCATTTTGGACGAATTTCTGAAACTCATCAGTAAACTGAAAACTGCTCTATCCTTGACACTGTTAAAAAAACAAAACAAAACACTACTGAACATTATTAGCACCAACATTAAAACAAAACTGACATCTATTTTGGGGGGTGGGTATAGTTGTGGAGGCACCATATTTTTCACTTACAAATTTTAAGCACCCCCTCCAACAAAAGGATCTAGGAGGTTTATTCAAATGCAATTCTATAGGTACTCCTATTAGTGGCCCCCAGAAATCCATTCACTACAGAACCTTAGCAACCTCCTTTTAGGCCTTTTTGAATTTCTTGACCACCCATAATGGCCTTGGCTTTCTGATGCAAGAAACTGACCTACTAGCCCCCATTCCATATGTCTTTGGAGTGGTAACTGCTGGCTACATACTGGGGTCACCTGGAAATAGAGGCTGTCATAGGCCTTGAGCTAGTGACCATCCATATTGTTAATTATACCTTGGGCCTTGGGTAGAAGCACCCTGCAAACTCATCACAGTCACCAGAGCCTCTGCAAGGACAGAGCTAAACCCGAGTCCTCTGGCATATCACACTTTAAGATGGAGATGGCCCACCTGTGCTTAGTCCCTGGGCAGACGCCATAGTGCTGGAGGAGGTCACCTCTTGATTACCTGGGGATCCTCTTGGGATCAACTGCGAGAATAACAATAGGAGTTTGTATGTTTTATGGGTACACTGTCATAATCAGACATGAGGAAGCTTAATGGTTTGCTGCTGCTTTTCATCCTTTAACCAGTATGTTTCTGATGAAGCACTAGACCCAAGAATCAGCATAATTGGCCAAACTTCAGGCAGTTAGTTATCTTAGCACTGGATGCCCTACTCAACCAAACTTGGCCTTTAAAAATTTTTAGCTATTGCCAAAGGCTATTATCTGGTTAAATTATTGACAACAATCTAAATTCTTTATCCATGATGTCCCTTTTGGGGTAAAGACTCTGAGAATCTTTTGTTTCACAGATAACAAAATGTAAGTCTATATCACACATGCCTATATTTATAGAAAGAATTTGTAGTTGGATATGTGAAAGGAGAATGAAGTTGTAGGAGAAAGTCTCCTCCATGGTAGCCTGGCACCCTTGCATGTTTCCATATAGGTTTAAAGCAGCTAATCTGAGACTTGATTAAATGCCTTGTGACCCTCTCTGAGTATAAGAAGATGGAGAAGGTTGTAGGGAGCTGCTATAAGCAACCGTCTTCTGGGCCACAGATAGGACATTACATTGATGCCAACAGGACATACAAATATTCAAAAAGAAGCTCCCAGAAAGGGGATGGGTCACTAGAAGGTGAATGTTTTACCACTCAGTGTCATGACAAAATAATAACTTAAACATATTTCAAGTGCTGTCTTGTTTGATGCTAGATCTTACACATACCCATCTCCCCAGAAGGTTATCATGAGACCGTTTCTTACCACCTACCAGTTTTGATGAGGTATGGGGCCTTCTGACCTCAAATAGAGCTGCAGAATATAAAACCACTTGGCTGCAGTCTAGATTTGATTCCTCAACAATGGAGTATCCCCAAACTTTGTTATCATCCATAGGGCCCCTTTCTTTTCTCTCGTCTTTTAGGGTATGTGGGACAAGGGCATGGGGGAACTGGCACCCATGGCTCACTCTTCTTTGCACTGTCTGTGTAAGTAATAAACTGTGTAAATCTACGTGGCTCATTGTATCTTTGCCAGAGGAATCAGTCAGGTCTTGGCCTTGTCTTGTTTGTATGAACATAATCCTGATTGCTATCTATGTCTTTTACCTATAAACTGATTAGCCTGCTTGTATTTATCCAATAGTTCTCAAACTTAATTAATACTGAGGACTTTGTATGTCCTTCAGTCATTTGTATTTGGGAAGCCTGCAGTGAATTATCAAGTCCCACTGTAGGGACAGTGCAGCACCTTAGGGAGTACCACATACTACTTTATGAAGCTAAGAAGTTATGAATAATTGGTACAAGATTTCTGAAAAATAGAAGCACAAAGTATTCTTCCCAATAAAGTTTAAGTACAGTCTTATGTGTCTCAATCTTCACATTTCCCCATAAATGTGGTAAAATAACAGCAGTACATTTTTGACAGCTAGATATGACAATTTATACAATAAACATGTCATGAGCAGCTGTGGGGTACCATGTTCTAGACTCTGTCCCAAACTGGGGACACACAGGGGCAACCTAGTCTGGTTCCCAGAGCCAGGAGACCTCAGAGGATAGAAGACATAGGCATTCAGGTTATTAAGTATAATTTTGATTAAAAACTATCATAACAAAGCAGTGGTGTCTGGAAACATAAACCCTAGGGGATCAACTTTACTCTAGATTAATAAGTGTTTCTTGAAAGCAGTACTGTTTACAGATGAGAAAACCCAAAAAAGGAGAGGTAAAGTAACTTGGTAGAGGCCACTTAGCTAGCAGATGGTCAAGCCAGTTTTGAACCATGCCTGTTGGACTCCAAATCACTATTTGTTTTAATTTATAGCCACCACCTAGTTTTAGTTCCTCTGGCTCTGCTTGCCTCCAAATGTTAAAAATCTGCTAAAATTAGAGTAAACTCAAGTTAGGAAACAACTTAAGAGGAGACCAATAAATACTATTCAGTAATTTCATGTTTCCTTCTAAAAGGGGAACCTCGGAATTGAAAGCGCCCCCCAGCTGTGGGTAGACAGGAGCCGAGAGTAAACCTTTCATCTCTTCCTTTCCAAGAATCATGTTTCTGGGGATATGCTTCCTGTTGGGATTGGAACACACAAGAGAGAGCAGGAGTAGAATGGACTATTTCCCTTTCACAACCCTTCACACTTATGAAGCTGTTCATCTTCCCTGGAAGGGGCCTCTGATGTTCTCACTTTTGGCTTGTTCCTTCTTCACCAACAAAAAAATCGGGACAGACCCCAAACCTGTTGATTTCAGCACAGCTTCACTAACTCTGACTTAGATGATTTTAGCCGTTAGAGAACTCTTAGTGCAAAACTGAAGGAATGTTTGTAGTCTGTGAAGAACACAAGATGGTTTGCTATAGTCAGGAATGTTACTGCTTAACTTCCTGTTTCACTTACCTTCAAATGTAACTTTAAAGTTAGTGAATGTGCCACTAACAAGTCTACAGTCACTATACTCCCCTAAAAAATGATGATTCAAAAATGGCATCTTATGAATTTTTATAAAATTCTATAAATTTGCTCCCTGGAGGCTCCACCCCTTTGATTTTCCACATTATGAACTACATTGTCATTAGAAATCCCACTCAACACAGTGATAGAATGAACTCCTATTTTCCAATATACATATATGTATAAATAAAAATATAAAGGATAAATAAGGCATAAGGGAGAAAATATATGGCATGAGAATTTGACTCAATTTCAATGGGCCAAATTAAAAGGAAAAACTCATAACACTGGTGTGTGGTAAGGGAAGTACTAGCCACTCCAGTATGGCACCCCATAGCCAGCATTTTCTAAATAATCTAAAATTTTTCCTCCTCTTCTTCTTTTCTCTAAGTCTTATATCTTAGCTTCAATGAGGACTCTGATAACAATTTTTATTAAGTTTTTACTATGAAAATGTCAAACATATATACAAAAGTAGAGAAACATATTTAATGAACCATCATATAACTATCACCCAGCTTTAACAATTATCCAGACCAATCTTGTTTCATCAATACCTCCAAAGCTCTTAACATCCACAGACTTATTTTTAAGCAAATTCCAGGTATCATTTCCACCATAAATATTTGAGAACATATCTCTACAAGATAAGGACTCTTGTTTTCAATATAACCACAAAACCATTATCCCAACTAATATCAAGTATCAGGTCAATTTTCAAGTTATCCTGATTGTCTCACAAATGCTTTTGTTATAGTTTGGTCAAATCAGGATCCAAAAGGCCCATATATCACAATTGGTTGATATGTCACTTAAATTTCTCTGAACCTATAGGTTCAACCTTCATCTTTTTCTTTTGTTCTGGCCATTTATTTTTGAAGAAACTCTACAGTTTTGACTCTGCAGACATCATTTCTGTGGTGCACAGTGGTAAATTTCTCTCTTCCCTGTATTTTCTACAGATTAGGAATTACGTCTAGAGGCACAGTCAGATTTAGGTTTAAAATTTTGGCAAGTATATTCATAGGTGGTACAGCACACTGCCATCAGACAGCACGTAAATGTCTGGGATGACATAGGCAATATGAGTAAGAATTTTTGTTTTTTAATCTCACAGCTGCCTATGAAACACTTGTGTGACATTTGGCATGTAAAAGCCACATATATGCTAGACATTACTGTAATAACACCAGATTAGAAAATGAATGCTTTGCCATCTACAAAATGTCATTTAAGCAAACCTTCAGTGATGTCTATCATATTTCAAATTATGTCTTGTATGTTAGATATGTAAAAAAGACTAAGTAAACAAAGTACTTGCACTCAAGGACATGTAACCTAGGAAATTACAGACACATAATCATAACAGCAGAAATAGGCCATAGAGCCACATTGGAAGGCTGTACAGATACAGTGGTAGTGCAACAACCTAGATCATAGTCATTGTAATAAACTGGGAGGAAGTGTCCAGAAGCATAGGATGAGCTGTGTCCGTGGGAGTGTGAAAGAGCTCACCTGTGCTTCACAATTCCATTCATCATTGGGTTCTTTCAAATGAGTCTGAACAACATCTATGCCATTCACCTAAAAAAGAACAAAAACTCAATAGTTTTCTAGCTCATCAATTCTTCTAGTCAACAAATATTTACTGAGGGTCTACTATGGGTCACCAAACACTTAGTATTGGAAAAACCTTTAGTAATATATCCAGTGCGCTTCCACTATGAGAGCCTGAAGGAATAACAAATTCTCTTAGCTAAAATATGAAGCTAAGAAATCAAGAATACATTAGTAAACATTTTTAATCTGTGGATAAAGGCAAAATGCCTTCAAGTTTTAGTCACTATTCTAGGTTTGAAAGATATCAGGAGGATTCAGGTTAGGTTCTAGTCCTTACAGAGTTCTTATAGGTCAACAATCATTTAGAAAGATGATCATAATAGTAGAATGATACTGAGAACACTTCTTTTTTTTTTTTTTTGCTTGGTGCTTCCACAAAAGGAACTCTGAAAATGAAAAAAAATGGCCAGCTGTTAGTGCCATAGGCCCCAAAGTAACATTTTCACCATCCTTTCCTCAGATAACAACTATTGGTGGAGGAACTGCTTTCCTACAGTTGGACTTCACTTAAGGGACATGAGATAAGCAGCTCCAGTTTCAGAGCATTTACACCATTATCCTGGAAAGGCGTTCCAATGTTGGTGACACAAGATGTCTATTCTTGCCCTTACATACACACTTACTATTCATTTGATGCTTTTAAATACAAAAATGTTTAGAACATTACAAATTTCAAAAAGGAATTAAAATATTTATAGCCACCTCCATCCCTTTTGGAGTTACCTCTTTCAAAACAGTGCTCTGATCAACAGAACATAGGTTTCTTAGAAACTGTAGTTCAGGGCCTCCCCGGTGGCACAGCGGGTTGAGCGCAGCACTGTGGGCTGTCTGCAGCCTCTGCAGCGTGGGTTCAATTACCGGCCGGCCAGGGAGATTCCCACACAGTACAGCAGACCTCTCCTATCTCACCTGTGCTCCCCTCAGCAGTGTATTTTGTCAGTCAGCCTGGTCTGCTCCCTGCTCTGTCTCTGGTGAATCCTCTCACCCTCCCGCACCTCTGGCCTGTACCCCAGCTCTTGTATAAAAATAAATCTTAAAAAAAAAAGAAAGAAAAAATGCAGAAAATATTAAAAAATAAAAGAAAATGTAATTCATTAGACATCTGGGGAAATTACATATATATTATATATATAAATATATATATATAAATTACATATATATTATATATATATTAGTATTACATTTACTTAAACAGGATTTCTTTAAAAAATTTTTAAAGATAAAAATTGGGAAAAATAAATAAAAATGGACACTTATCAAGTTGGGAAGAAAAAAAATTAAAAACATGGCAATAAAAATGTCTACCTCATGTGTTAAGGTCTTAACTTTGGTCAATGCACTGTTTTTTTGTGGGGGGGTATGAGCTAAAAGACTCATCTGTATATTTTTAATGTGAGCATCAAATAAATAATGCATGGATACTATGTCATGACTCTATAGGAGTCTGTGCATCAAACACTTGCAGGATGGAGATTTTAAATGCATTCTGTTTGTTACCTCTGTATCAACTTTCAGTCTGAAGTTTTTTTCTTTTATTTATTTATTTATTTATTTATTTATTTAATTTAAAAGGACGGGTTTATTAGAAAAAAGAAAAAGGGGAAAAAGAGGCACCTATAGAGACATAGGTGAGCAGAAAACTGCTGCTGCTATTGCTGTTGCTTTTGAAAGGGAAAAGATTGTTAAGAGAGACTTCTGCATAGACGTCAGTGAACAGTCTGGGTCAAGAAATGCTTGACTTCTCTTTTAAAATGAAATTATTTTGGGGTTCATTTAATTTTTTCAAAATGAATTCCAAAGCATATATAACAACTGCCCATGTAAATTTGAAAGCGTAAAAGTGTAATAACTGTGAAATGATCTATGAAAACCTTAAGAAATTTAAGAGTTCAGTAAAAAACTCTGTACTTTTCACAGTTGTCAAATACATAATTTAAAAGCCAAAACATAAAATTATATTGTGTAATCTCTAAGGCTACCATGTGTAAGTAAAACCTACAAGGTATAAGTGAGAGCATTTTAGATGGAGGCACTTTTATGTAGGAAATAGTCGTAAGGCAGCAATCCAGGTTCTCTAGTCAGCGTATACTCGAAAAATCTCAGGTTAATGAAACTACTGGTTGATTTGGATTGTTCTAATAGGGTCAAACTGTAGGATTTAGAAAGTTAGTTTAAAAATTTAGACATGTCTTTCTGTATAAAGAAATATAATTTTGAACAAATATTTGATAATTCTACATAATTAAGAATACAAAAAATATATGATTTTTTTGAAGTTTCATTTCTACTTTCCTTGTTCCTTTGATATTTTTGTTAACTACAATATGTACTTTAGATATATTTATACATGCAAAGATCTTATTAAAAAACAGTGGCAAAAACCTTTCAAAGGTAACAAGATTCAATTTTACGACTTTAAAAAGGATAATATGTAGAATAGCAAAGTATTTAAATTATTACTATCAACTATATTTATTATTGGACTGTAGATTTTTTAAAGTTTTTTTATAACATTTATAATTTTTTTACATTTTTAGACAATATTTGTTTCCCCCCACGCCCTCAGATTGAGTCCCCATAGAATTTCCTTCCCCCAAGGCACCCATGTACCATCACCCCAGTCCCCTGTGCTCCTCCCTCCCTCCCTCCCTCCCTCCCTCCCTCCCTCTGATCCCTCTCCCTCCTCCTCCCCTGCAGTGTGTCTCTGGTTTATAATAGTCTGTTTTGCTTTGTTGTGTTTTGTGCTGTTATCATTATTTCTTTTACACTGATTGGAGGTGTCGACGTTGTAATACATTAAGCGCTATTATAGAAAGGCAGCCCCCACTCACCTCCTCTTCAAAATAGCAGTCCTTAACCATTCTGAGATGAAAAGGAACTCCCAGGGGGAATCGTGACTTAGAAAATGTCTTTAAAATGACCTCCCCCCCAACCTTAGGTGACAAAAAAACACTTAATGATTACGATATGACATATTCTAGATTATCCTAATACAACTCCTGAAGTCCACTTCACAAAGTAGGCTTTACTTCCAGCTACTTTCTGGCATGACTGAGAGATACAGGAGACCCCATTTGAGATGGGCTTCCTCATTTCAAGCAAATATCAAAGCAAATGTGAGAGTCTTTAATTTGGCAGCCAGAAAAGTCTGTTGTAATATTTAAGAGAGGTGGCTCAAGTATCCTAACAGCTGGAGAAATCTGGAACAGCAGGGTAGCAAGGAAGCAAACTCACTCAATTGGGATGTAATGACCACCTAAGAGTCCATCCCTTTGGCCATCTGCTATCGAGACAAGTCTAACTGGAATGTCACCAGCTCAAATGTGGAAGGAAATATTACTTTCCTTCCAACACTAACTGACAGGGAGGACCATGGTCCTGCTGGGGTAGTAAGAAAGGGGCAGTGGAGCTGGAAGTGGAGCCTGGCAAACCACACTCTACAAAGGAACACAGCCCTCCCTGTGAGATGCACTTATCAGGATGCATCTGGCTAAGAAATCGCTACCCTGCCGGGCAGTGTTTGGTTCAACTACACTGGGGTTATATGGGAAATGCCCGTTTGAAATAAGCAGTGAAAAACGATCAACTGTGAGGCATTTTTGAAAATCAAAATATCGCCAGAGGAATAAAGAAACGTCTGCAAAATGCGATGAGATCGCGTTTCTGGAAACAAAAAGAGTATAGAGTGTGGCATGAGCACAAGAAGCGAAATTTCCTAACACCCATTTTTTCGATTCAAAAGCGCTGGTTCAAACCAATGCCCATCACGGGAGCGCTGGCTGACAAGGGTCGGTGCTGCGAATGAGAACCTAAGTTAAGAGCAAGAATTAATCAAAGATGCCACACCCCCACGCTGACTGGATTGTCACGGCCTTCACTCCGAAACGAACCGCAAGGCTGGCACCCAAAGCACCGCAAATAGCAAGGATGCACACACGGGTGTGTGTGTGTGTGTGTGTGTGCAAAGGAAAAGACAAGCCACCAACCAACCACAGCGCTTCACGCGCGCGCGCGGACACACACGCACACAAACACACACGCACGCACACATGCACGCACACACACAGCCCAGAGCCGGTGCGCACTCAGGGCACCTTCCAACGCAGCCCGGGCAGCTGTGCTCCCGCACACAGGTCCGAGCAACCCGCGAGCAGCGATTTTCCAGGCATCTGACAAAGGAGCAAATGGCCAGAAAACTGTGCCCGGCGGGCAGACGGTTAGCGAGCGCGAGGCAGAGGTCTGCCGGGAAACAAAAGAAGCCTCCCTCCTCCCCGGGAGACCGCACATGGCACTCGAGGTGCTCGGCAGGCTGGGCTGCGGGCGCGCAGCAGGCGTCTGTGCAGGAGCGGTACATACTAGGGCTCGCTCTCTGGCAGGGACGGGGCCATGGAGTTTCCATTGGTTGGGGAACCGCCCAGCTTTAGTTTCTCCAGATATGCGGCATGCACGGGCTTGTGGCACTGGAGAACCTTGATGGCATCTTCGACTTTGAACCACTCTCGCTTCCTCCCAATGCTCACCGAGTCTTCCCAGTCCTCCAGAATCTCAGTGACAGTCAGTACATACACGTACGTTCTGTGCTTGCGATCTTGGTTCTGCTCGAAGACGCCCAGGAGCCGGCCCAACTTGCCCCTGACGCCCGCCTCCTCGTACACCTCCCGCACGGCCGCGCCGCCCGGCTCCTCCTCGGGCTCCATGCCCCCGCCCGGCACGATCCAGCGGTCCGGGTGGCGACTACTGCTCACCAGCAGCACCTCGTCCTCGCGCTCGCTCCGGAAGCACAGGCACGCTGCGCGCTGCTTGAACCCCTCCGGGTCGTAGGTGCGCGTCTGGTTCGGCTTGCACTTCATCGTCCGGGCCGCGGGCTCCTGCGCTCGCCTCTGCTCTGGCCGCCGCCGCCGCACGGTGCCGGGGAGAGAAAGGGCCAAAGCGAGGGGCGGGGAGAGACGCGCGGCTGGGCGGCGAGCCCCGGCGCCCAGGCGAGGAGGGGGCGGGGGCGGGGGCGGGGGCGGCGAGTGCGTCAGGCTTCGGCCCCCGCGCGCCCGCCCAGGGTCCCGAGCGCACGCGCCCGAGGGACGACGCGCCGCCTCCGCCGCCGCCGCCGCCGCCGCCGCCGCCGCCGCGAGCCCGCACCCCTCGCCAAGCCCCGCGCGTCTAGCGCGCCGCCATGGCTCCGCCCGCCCGCAGCCGGCCGGCTAGGGGTTGAGTGAGGTGAGGCGCCTCTGCGTGCGCGTCCGCGGCGCGATCCGCGTGCGCGTGCCCGCCGGAGGGTGAGGGGCGGGGGCCGGGGTCTCGGGGCTCCCTCCGCGCGCGGCGCCCGGGGCCCAATGCGCAGGCGCCCCGCCCCTCCAGGGCCGGCGTCGCGCGCGGCGGGGTTAAGCCCGGCGCCGGTGGCGGGCTCGGGTGCGTTCCACGTGCGCCGGTCGGCGAGCCCGGCTGTGGCGCGGCCGCACGGCTCCCCTCCCCCTCCCAGGCAGGTTGCACGACACCCACGCGCGGTCATTTCCCACACGGTCCTGTCCAGGGCTGCGGTGTCTCTGGTCCTGGGTGGCAGCCGCTTATTTCTAGGAAGCTCTCCGTTTTGTCCCAGGGATCCCGCGGCTCCTTGGCCCAAGGCCACCCAGTCGTGGCTGAGTCTCCTCATGCATGAGGGGTTTTTCCTGAAACAGGTTCACCATGCCAGGTGTCTTGGCACAGCCCCTACCTCACCACCTTTCTTGAACCCCTCAGACTTCTGAGTCATCTCTGCCCCTCACTTTCCTGGTCGCTGAACTCCTGGTCTGCTCCCTTCACTCCTGTGCCCTTGGAGTCCCGGTCCATCAGAGTTCACTGACATCCCGAGAAGTGCGCCCCGCGCAGTCCACCCCTCGCTCTTTCTCACCTGCCATCACCGGTTGGCGATTTGGGAGACATGGCTGAGGAAATCTTTCTTTTCTGTTTGGACTTTTAGTCGTCTGCTGGCCAGGACCTTCAGCATGGCCACTGGCGCGTGCAGCCTCTCAACTCTCTCCTTGGTCATTGTGTCCTTTTGGACAACAAGCAGCACCCCACAGCCCCAAATCCAACAACTTAAAAGCCCACGGAGCCAAGCTGTCCTTTGGCTTTTGTTTTTGCTGCTTCCCCGCTCAAACAGTAAGCGATGGAGCAGACACTGCTGTCCCCTGACTTCTGCCAAATGGCAACTTAGGCATGTTTGTCTGACTCTTGCCATCAGTGCTGGCATCAGAGGAACAGCGCTTGAAAACTGGATGAAAGGGCAAATCGAGTCCGAAATGGAAGTGACAATACCTAGGAAACTTACAGGGCAATTGGTGGGCAACAGTTTAGCTCAGTTTCCTGGGATCAGCTCCACTCCATTTCAACCCACACGAGCTCCCCAAAATGGCCGTATCCCCAGTGGCAACAGACAGCTGCTCTATCTGGAGCATAATATAAGAAAGATGCGTGGGGCTTCTGGTGTGAAGAATTATGTGAGCGACGTCAAAACACAGACATTCCATTGCCGAGGACCCTATATTCAGGACATATCGATGATCAAAGACCATTTAAAGGGATGGTGCAACCCCTGATTAAAGACAGACTAGGGAAATGGATCTCCACGAGTGGGGTTCCTCGGTGTGCAGATACATAAATGATGTTAAACAACTAGAAAAAATTCCATTATGATCAGGATCTAGGGAGATAATACCGAGTGTCACTGGGATCATTATCTGTGGTTTAAGACGTTCTTACCAGTTTGTGTGGTGAGATCGTGAAGAGAAAGAGACCTGTCACATAGGTAAGGAAGACAAAATTGCCGTCATTGGTAGGCAATGTGACTATTTGCTTGGGAAACACGTAAAGACAAACGCCCTGAAGTGACACGGTGGAATGCTAACATTTACAGTATCAGTAGCTTTGATGTATTGCAGCAATCATGCTGTAGAAAATATAATGGAGAAATGAAGACATTCACCAGAGCAAGGTCACCCTACCAAAAAATAAATACCGAGGGATCCTAAAAGTTATGACTAGCACTTGGTAGGAGACAACGATAAAACTTGTACCCCGTGTGGGAAGGTGATCTGAATAAAACCAAGAGGAACTCTAGCAACGCTGGCGAGTGGGCTGGTGTCTGGGTGTCCACCTGGCCCAGCCGCCTCACAGATCCACTTCCCACTTGCCGGGCGCTATCTCCCCATCTCACCACAGGTGTCCTTTCCCGGTCTACTCCCATCACCTCTAGAGGTGCTCGCGCAGTGTGCCTCTGCTGGGGTCATGCTGACCGGACCAGCCACAGAATATGGAAAGAGGGAGAGGCTGGGCTCCTACTGGCAAAGTCGTCGCAATCCGTTTCTGGGTAAAGAGGCCCACAAATTACGGGCTTCATAGAGTAATAGCAAAGGAAGGTTCAAATTAGGGTTCCCCCTGAATTTCATAAAATAATTTTATTATTCACTTCTTATATGCTGGTAGGGCAAGAATGATAGGATGCTTTCCTAAAGAATAGTAGAAATCATTTTTGAGAGACCAGCATTCCACTGTCTGGTTTACCCACAGATAAGTGTTTCTGTAGAGATGAACAAGGGTAATTCAGGTAGTGATGCTCTATGGGTTTTCCTTCGCTTGCTGCACTGGAAGCAGGATGACAGAGATGTGAAGAAGCCCAGCTCCGGGGTCAATGAGAGGCCCATGGTCCCAGCAACCCTGTCATTTCAGCTGACTGTGAAACAGTGGCCACACTGTGGGTGACAGCCTGCTTTGACCATCCAGCCCCCAGCAGAGCCCCTTAGCTGACAGGGCACTGATCACAGGTGAACACGTAAACCTCACGAGAAGAGCAGAAGAACCACACATATCAGCCCAGGCCAAATTATTGGCCTGCAGGATTCCCAGCAAAGGAATTGGTGGTTGTTTAAAGTCACTGAATTTGGGGCTGGTTTGTTATGTGTCAGCAGCTCACTGATACAACCATTAGCTGCCAGCCCCCCCCCCCCCAATCCAAGCAAGAATAATTAACGAGAGAAAGCATTTGTCATAGTAGCAATGTTAATTCCGCTTGAAAAGGGTGACTGCACTTTCCCTGGCGTCAGAAAGAAAGGAATGAGGTGAAGACACATAATATTTCTGGGTGCCCACTATGTGCCAAGGCCCCGTGCTGAGCCCTGTCTCCTACATCCCGGAAATCCCATTCATTGTGCAGGAGGTGGTTAACATTTCCATTTCATGGAAGAGAAAATCAAGGCCGGGTATGGCATTTATTTTGTTTGAATTCAAGTCTTCCTGTGCCTATAGCCTCCATGTCTTGTCAAAAGGAATATTTTTATCAGGAGCTGTGTTTTGTTGTGACAGTGTCCGGTGATGTTCAGAGTCCAGGTAAGGTAAGATGTTCATTTACCAACAGTCATTGTGTTCAAAAAAGGTAGTTTCCACCCCGATGTTCCTCGTTAGCCTGGTCTACATAGTGGAAAGGCCACCCGAGATCCACCCCACTCCAACCTACAAACAGTGTGTCACCTCCACATGTCCTTTGGTAACTCAAAGCTTTTTTTTTTTTTTTTTTTTTTTGCCATTCAGTGACTTTTTTTTTATTCATTGATTAAATTTTTTTCCCTTACATTGTTGTAGTCCTCATAGTTCTCCTGCTGCTGTTTCACGAGTGAACCATCCCTACATTCCCCTGTATTAATCACCTCCTTGTATTCTTCCCTCTTTTCCCCTCCTTTACTCTATGCTCAGTTCTTTGGGCAGTTTGCCAGTTTGACTTTTTTTTTTTTTCCTTGACCTTTTGTTGGGTTTCTCTATATTCTACATATATGTGAGGCCATCTGGTATTTATCTTTGTCCTTCTGACGAATTTCTGCTAGCATAATCCCCTTCCAGCTCCATCCGCATTGCCGCAAATGACATGAGTTTGGCTGTTTTGATAACTGGATACTATTCCAGAGTGTAAATATAGCACAACTTTTTGAGCCACTGGTCTATTTTGAGGCATTTGGGTTATATCCCTATCTTGGCTATTGTAAATTGTGCTGCAATAGACATAGAAGTGCAGGTTTCCTTTTAAATAAGTGTTTTTGTGTCCTTTGGGTTGATTCCTAGCACGAATCCATTTGCTGAATCACAGTAGATCCATTTTCAGTGTTCTGAGGATCCTCCACACAGCTTTCCATAGTGGCTGGGCCAGATTACATTCCCACCAGCACTGTAAGAGGGTTTCTTTATCCTCTCCAGCACTGGGACAACTCAGTGCTTTGATTTCCCTTGCCAGTATAAAAAGAAAGGAGGCACTGCATTTAGTAAGATATTGTACACTGTCATCCCTCTAGGCAATGATTTTATTTACTCATGGTCTGCTTTATTTTATGAACTTATTTTTTGTTAACCAAATAATATCTCAGATGAGCATCAAAGTCCTTGTTCAACAGAGTACAAAACCGACTGAGATAGGTTTAAGTAAGAGAGGCAGCCCATGTTGTGACTTCAAAGGCAATCCTTTTCCGTGCACCATGACTAGTTCCACAAGTGAAGCTGTGATGTACAGCACCTGTCCTCCCTTGTGGCGCAGTCTTTTGCCCTAATTTTTGTCAACCTGGGATGATCCAGGCACCCAGGAGAGCATGTCTTCCCTGTAATGTTCTGAAGCTGTGAGGATCTGCTGTGAAGCCTGACCATTTCTACATTTTGTCTGCTGTAGGAAGGAACAGGCCCATTGGAAATGGACAAGAACATTAGAAGCATTATCCCGGGAAGTTGGGTGCCTTACCTAATGAGATGGGCCTGAGCCTGGAGATGCGTCTTTTTCTACTAACTTTTGAGTGAAGTACAATTTTAAATGGAGAGGGCCCCTCTGGAACAGCTGTCAGCTGGGATAGAGAATTACAGACCTTCCCAGAGTCCTGCGGTCCTCAGTCGAATCCAGCCTTTGGGACCATGAGCACAACATACCTGAGAGATTTGCAGG